TAAATAGAGAAATATGGCTACAACTTTTAAAACGACTGGCCGGGTCATTACAATAACAAGCAGGATTACAAGTGCCTATGCAAAAACATTGTCATATGCAGGGAGATCGCAAATTATTAATGCAGTTTTGTTTTCAGTTTATAACTTTTGGGGTGCAGTCTTTGTTTTGCCTCAAAGTATACTAAAAAAAGTAGATAAGAAGTATAGAGAATACCTATGGGAAAGTACTGAAGGAAAGAGGAAAGTTACATTGGTATCATTGGACAAAATCTGTAGACCAAAGAAGTATGGAGGTCTCAATGTGAAAAGTTTCAAACTATGGAACATTGCTTATATAGGAAAGCTAATATGGCAAATAGCATGCAAAGAAGACACATTGTGGATTAAATGGATCCATGGACTGTATATGAGAGGCAACCAAGATATTTGGACTCGTGTACCTCCTGTGGATAGTAGCTGGTATTGGAGGAAACTTAATTCTCTCAAAGATGTGATGACTAGCTGGTACACAAGTGATGTCTACAATCCGATCTCGAATGGTGCTATTCTGTTAGCAAGAGCTACATTGAACTATTGGGAGAGATGGACAAGCTTCAAGAAGCAGATATGATATGGAACTCAATTATGCTGCCAAGACATATGCTTATAGTGTGGTTGGCTAGTCAAGACAAATTGCTTACAAAGGAAAGGATGGAAAGGCTGCATATCCAAGTGGAGGATGCGACATGCTGTCTATGCACTGATAGTAAGAGGGAAACACATAAGCATCTATTTCATGAATATAGCTGAACACCAGAAGTAAAAGAATCAATGGAAAGATGGACGGGTATCAGAACACAAAAGCAAGATACTATACAATGCTTAAAATGGATCAAGGGGAGGCACTGAAAACAATTCAAGAAGGAAATAGCAGCTGCATTACTGGGAGCAAGAATTTATCATACTTGGCAGGCGAGGAACTGGAAGCAATTCAGAGGGACATATATTACTACAGATATATCAACAGAACAGATAAAAAAAAAATAGTGGAGAGAATAGAATGTAGGAAAAACTCTAGGAAAGCAAGCAAATGTAAATATCTGATCCAACAGTTTTGTAACTACTTATTTTTTTCTGTTCCGGTAATACATCACAGTTTTACCAAAAAAAAGAAGTAAAAAAATTAAATATTCAAGAATAAAAAGGAAAAAGAAGAAAAAACTTTTAGTTTCAAAGTCACAAGTCAAATGCTACGTTATTTTAGCATCTAAAAAGGATTGAAATGATCTTTATTTTCATATCATATTAGATCTTTGTTTAATATTAATAACTATACTTTATAGTATTTTTATCCATGACTATAAAATGTACATGAATCTATCTATCAGATAACTCTCCTCTATTTCTTAGTCTCTCCATTTCTTCAAGTTCCTACTTGGATTAGAGATACTTGTCATGGTTAAAAACTAATGGATGTGATTTAATTGAATAAAATAAAGCCCTAACCATGGTTAAAAGTATTTAATTTCTCCCTTTATCCATTCCCAAATAATATATTTTTCAATCCCACAATTATAGCTATAGATTATCTAAGATTTCTTCTCTTTCTCGTAGTAATTTTCGTTCGTGAATTAGTTTTTTTTTCACTTCTACAAAAATAGTAATTTTCTTTTCGCGAGTTAATTTTTTTTACTTTTGTAAAATCTTCTTACATAATCATTAAAAAATAAAAAATATTATAAGTAAGTTCCAACATTTGATAATAATTTAAGAACGGTACAAATAATAAAAATAAGTTCCAATCTTGTACCAATTTTAAAATAACTTTTTTCAACTTAGCCGTGTAAAAGGATATGCATCAAATGTTTTTACACGTTTGTTGAAAAAAGTTGCTTTTACACGGCTAAGTTGAAAAAAGTTGCTTTGAAATTGGTCCAAGATTGGAACTTACTTTTATTATTTGTACTGTTCTTAAATTATTATCAAATGTTGGAACTTACTTCTAATATTTTTTATTTTTTAATGATTATGTAAGAAGATTTTACAAAAGTAAAAAAAATTAATTCGCGGAAAGAAAATTACTATTTTTGTTGAAGTGAAAAAAAAAATTAACTCACAAAAGAAAATTACTACGAGAAAGAGAAGAAATCTTAGATAATCTATAGCTATAATTGTGGGATTGAAAAAGATATTATTTGAGAATGGATAAAGGAAGGAATTAAATACTTTTAACCATGGTTATGATTTTATTTTATTCAATTAAATCTCATCCATTAATTTTTAACCATGACAANATATATATATATATATATATTTATTATAAGAGTAGGAAGCCCTTAGTTAAATATCCTAAATTTTCTTACTTATAAATTATTATTAAAAAAACTCCTCATCCGAAAGGGTGCCTTTTCTTACCCATCAACCTTGCAGCGAAATCCCTGTTACACACCTCTATTTTACGGGAAACCTTTTACACACTCAATCTTTCAAAAGTGTGTCCAAGACACACTATTTCTGACCAGATAGCACTTGCGTGTTTACACATAAAAAAATACGTGAAGCCCGTAAAAAATCTCATTTTTTGTCTCCCCTCCCCACATGAACCCCTCCCCTCCCTCTGGTCTTCTTCCTCGCCACCCTCCCCCTCATTTTCTTCCCCAAATAGAATTTTTGAGAGAACATATCAATTTTAGATCTAAAATTGAGTGGATTTTGTTGGTTTATTATCCAAATATTGTGAAAACTATTTATTTGTGATAGATGTAAAAGCTTTAATAGTAGTATTGAAGGTTTGGTAAAAAATCTATAATCCACCATTGTTGGGGTACCGAAAAAAGCTTAAAAATTCAATTGGGTCTTGTTGATTATTGGGTTATTGAACTTAATTTGTTGCTCGATTATTTTCGGCTAGTTGTTTAGATAGTGTGGTTGAATTTTGGTGTTGTTAGAAACTTTCTCACAAACAATCATGGTGGTAGCAACAATGATGCTTAAGATAGAAAATGGAAAGATGGAGAAGATGAGTTTTAGTTTTAATTTCTAATATTTTTTTTCCTTTTTAAAGTCGATGACACGTGTCACGATCCTATTAGGGCGTGACTTTCACGTTATTTGAAAAATTGGTCGAGTACAAAAATGGTGTGTCTTAGACACACTTTTGAAAAGTTGAGTGTATAAAATATTTCCTGTGAAAGAGAGGTGTGTAACAAGAATTGCGCTGTAAGGTTAATAAGTAAACTATGTATTTTGGCTCTAAGAAATGACTTTGACTTTTAAAAATAAAACAAAGGGAAAAACTGGAAAGGGCTGAAATTTTGAGAAAAGGATAAGTGTGGTATATGGCTGAAGAAAGGACGTGCCACTTCATCTTCTTAATTTCAGATTTTAAATTTTTCTGAGTCTTTGAAAAGGTACGAACATGCGACTAAAACAAATGGTGAAGGCTAAATTCATTTGCAAGTCTGACTATTATTCTAACCAAAAAAATAATAGTCCTACAAGATTGTGGTGCTCTTTTGAGGCTCAGAAGGGAGGTCAAATGCCAACCCTTAGTCGAAAATTATATCGCGCAGATATGTTAAGTATTTTATTTTTATGTATATATACTATGTGTTGACTCCCTTTAATTTTTTTTCATATGTTTACTTATTTATATTTTGACTCCCCTTAAGGAAAATTCTGTCGAAGTTTTGAAAATCATATTGCTTCCATACAACATGACAACTGGTATAGATTCAGAATTAAAGATGAATAATTTTTTCAACAAAACTACGTGAACAATCATGTGTGTGCAGTAATATTTTTAATTTAGATTTTTCTTTTCTTCTTTTCACTCCTTGATCTTTTGACTTCTTCTCTTAAAAATATGGAGATAAGAAAGCAAATAAATGGCGGAGTCTATTTTTTCGCATCGAACTAGACTTATTTTTAAAAAGTCCAAATTTAAATAATAATTAATTATATAGACACACACGAAAACTTAAACATTTATGGGAATTAGTTGAAATAATAAATTCTAAATATGATATTAACATATTTTTCTTATTTTCACTTCTTCTCCGATAATATTAACACAATCCTTTCAAAATTCACCAATCGGAAGAAATTCAATAACAATCGTAGACGCTTGCCTCCATAAAAACACAATATTCAAATGCATGGTTGTGTATTTAGAACAGAGAAAGAAAACTCTCATCAAAATATAAAAAGAGTAGATTAATCAAGATGTAACAATTAGATTTTATTTTGCAATAATGCTTTATTCTTCAATATGTTGGAAATAATTTCTTATAGATTAAAAAATAGGACAATTTGTATTTTATGCATTTTGCTTGTGAGAAAAAAAAAAGAAAAAGAAGAAGATATATTTCAGTTAGCTAACCATTTGTGTATTTATGAATAAATATTTTTCAAGAAAATTCATTACAAAAGCTTGAACAATTTTAAGTTGAATATAACGATTGAGATGATTGAGGACATATTCGATAGAGTTTCTTTCTGGATAAATAAGAAGCAATAATTATTATTTTCTTGTACTACTTTTGTTTTTAACTTTTTACTCTATAACTCAAATACCACTTTTAATATTATATTTAAGTGATTGTTTAAAAAAGTTATACTTTTTGATATAGAGTACGCGCAACTCGTATGCTGAGAAACTAGTACTATTATAAAAAGCTCGAAACTCTAAATAAATATATATGAAATATTGATCTACTTTTTCATCTTTTTTTTTCCTGTTGCATATATGGATAAAATTGTTGCTATAATTAATTTTTATAAATATTCTTTTTTTACTCATTGGTTGACCTTTTTTAATTTATTAAAGAATCTCATTATATTCTTGTACGGTGAATTGGTAATGTTATGAATGTAATAACTTTTTAACTAATAAAATTGTTAATTAGTTTATTTTACGATGAGATAATAAAATTAGTAAATCTCTTTTCCAAATTTCTTATTTTTTATTAAATTATAATGATCCTTTCAATATGGAGGTACAAAAACGTAAAAATACTTGGTAATAATTGAAATGAACATGTCGAAAATGCTCTACAATGAAACAGAAAGAAAACCCTTGCCGTTCTGCCTTCCCTTCTTCTCGCTGATGCCGGTGAAAGCGTGAAGCTTTTGAGGATGGTCCGATTCAAGGTTAGGTTCTCTTCTCTCTTTCTCTTTTTTTATTTTTTATTTCTCTGTATTTGGAAAACTTGAGGATGAATATGGAACCATTAGTGATAAAGCTGACGATTGTTGATAGTTTTTCCACGACCCAACTACAACTAGAAACTTGTTTTTCCTACATTTCCTTGAATTTCATCAAGTAATAATCCCAAAAGAAATTTGAATCAATTACACAGTGGTAGTTGCTAGTAGCTGCTTTAGTTTTTCAGCCAACGCCTAATTAAAACTCCAATTCTCTTTACATTTTTAACAAAACCCTAGCCTTCTGAAACTGTTTAAGCTTGGACATTTCACCTCACTGCAGCAATGAAGATAGTTGAGGAAATATTAGTAGTAGAAATGGAAAACCCGATGGCATCACCTCGTAATAGTAGTTTGGTATGATTCCAGCTTGGTATGACGCCACAAGTATCACCGAAGTCCAGAACTTGGGCTAAAGGCCAAAAAGGAAAATGTGGATTCTGGGTTGAGTATAAACATTTGTTAGATGGATCCACGCCTCTATGCCGTATATCAGTCAATAAATTGGCATTACTATTTTATGAATAAATAACTTCGATGTTGCTAATTGATTTACATCCTATAATTCACCTGATACTTCAAAGTCATGTCGGTGAGTATAAATGTGTAAATCGGAATACATGAATGGCTACTAATTCAATTATAAATGGATTGGCAGTTTATAGGCGCCTGCAAATACAAGAAGGCAGAACCAATCCCAAATTGGGCACCTTCACGGGGTCAATTTGCAGCTGGAAGAATAGCACTTGCTAGTAGAATAGTAAAGCATGTGATTTGTGATGTTTTCACGACTTCTACGTTACAGTCTAAGCTGGTCATGTGAATGCCTAAATATAACCTGCTTTTAAGCGTGGTTATCTGTCGTGTTAATGATGATGTTATGTCAAAACCTTGGGAGCAGTTGCCTATTAGGAGATGTTATCTGTCTTATATCTCACCTTGTTCCATTGGGAAATGTTTTCCTAGCTCAAGGTCTTAAGATATTTCTCACTGGATTTCACTACACTTCTGATGCTTTATCGCTAATTCGAGGGCTTGGGAGTTGTGATGCTACATCTATTATTCACAGCTAGAGACTAGAGTCTATTCATTCAGGATATTGCACCATTAAGTAACAAAATTACTTGCTTTTATGCCGATGATATCAGGCGGCTCTTCGAAATAGAAGTTCAACTGCTGCAAAGGATCAAACCAACAAGGGGACATCAGATTCTAAGAAGCTTAGGAAGAATTTGGAGATTTCTGAATCTAGAGACGATGTGGTAAAGCCTGTGAAGAAATTAAGAAGTATAAGAAAAGTTATGGAAGCATCGGATAATCAACATTTTCCCAGGCCTTTGGTCTCTACCCTCTTCTTCTTACTCATGCATCATTCTTCCCATATTTTGCACGATAATCATTTGCATTTTTGCTCTATCGTTTTTGGACTTATCTAGGTCATCTATTGTTTATTTTAGGTATAACATGTGTGCAATACCTGATAGAGTGGTTCTTTCTTAGGTAACAAGGGTAGGAGGGCTTCTAATCGTAATTGATTTCCATGTTACATGCTGTGCTCCATTGCTTTCTAAGACTGTTCAACTAACTGTTAGAGCGTAGTTTTTCCCCTGAACACGCAGGAAAAATCTTGGTAACATGCGAAAATATACAAAAAATGGTTTATTGTCAGATATCAAATTGGTTTGTCAATCTTTTCGTTCAGTGTGTCAACTGTGAAAATGAGATTTATTATTGCTACTGCTTGACCAGCCCGAATTTAATAATTTAATTTCCTCTTTCCCTGATGTCTTGCGACTTGATCTTTTTTTTAATACCAAGAAACCCGCTAGCGCCAATGACGCATGGTTCGAAACTCGATGGATAATGAGCCTGCCCCCTCTACTCTTCTCCACTTAAATACCAGGCTTTTGTCTTTGGCAGGGTTCAAACCTGTGACGTGCTCCTAACCCACACATCTCTCTTACCACTAGACTAATGCCTTGGGGGCACGGGTTGATCTAATTTTGCGTCTATGTTAAACTGAACTTTGCTGAGTTCTAATGCGTCTGGTATGATCATCAACAAAGAATATTCAGATTATCTGATTTTCGGATAAACCTATTCAAACATATGGCTGTTTTCAGCTGTGTTTAGACGAAATCTGTTAATTTGCAATAACAAATGTATCATAATGGGAAAAGATAAGGAAGAAAGAGTTCTCTATAGCTTGACCATTGTTGTACTTTGTCTAACTTTTGCAGACTCGGAGACCGGGAAAAGTTGGTTGGGTAGATAATCAATCAGGTCATGTCATGAAAGAAAATACAGATTGCTCACCAGCCGGGACTGCACATTCTATCGATAGGGGTAAGTGACTCTAAATTTTAAATTCCCTAGTTGGGACTCATTGCTAACTCAACTAAACTGCAGATACAGACTGCAGTAAACAAGGAGATGTTGAAAATGTTATCAACAGAGAGCTGAACGAAGAAGATAAGGATGGGGAGCTAATTGACCCAAAAGTAAAGATGGTTGAGGTAACATTTTATAATTGTGCTCATTCACCTGCCATCAAATCTGTAGGGTAATTAGAATCTATAATCGGCATTCTTTTTTCCTTACTAAAAAAATTAGACCTAGTACCAGAATAATGCATGCTGATGCTTATATTTTACCTACAGCATGGGCCAAAATATGGATTTTGGTGATATGTAACTGATAGAAGTATGTATTCCATACGATTGAGTTCCCTTGATTTTCTCCATAAATTCACTTTTCTGTTCATTTCTGATTGACTATGGTGTTTGTTTTCTGTTCTTTCTCATTCAGGATAGCGTCAAAGAAAGTACTAAGAATCTGTCTGATCATGGAAAACTGGCAGTGCTAGAAGGTAACTGACTTTGTACTTTTTATTTTGGCTCACTGCATCATTGCAAAATGTTCTACTTGATGATAGGCGGGAGAAACAAGTACCTGGGAGCACACTCCATGGCACTGTTAACGAACAGAATGCAACCAAATCAAGTTGAATTGACTTCAACCAACAGGATTAGTACTTCTGCAGGTAAAGAATGCCTTTTAACACAATATTTCTGCTCATCTTAACGATTCTTGATAACCTATGTGTTAAGCATCTTGTTTTGAAATTTATGGTTCTCAATGAAATTGCATTCTAATGCTAAATTATTCCTGCTTGTTTGAATTTTTATTGAGGAAGTTTAATCAGACTTCCTTTGTAGCAAGAGCTTTAGTGTGAACTCCAGGTTCCTGCATTATTTGAAACTATTTGAATATAGAGGGGGGTTTCTAAAATTAGGAAACCTCACTTTCTAATAAAAGCAAGGGCTGCAGGTTATCCTTTTTTGCCCAACTCAGGTGCTTGTGCCTTTCATTTCTGGTATCTTGCAGTTTTCAGTTATTTTACGTCTAGATCATGTTGTTCTTTTAGCCTATTAGGGGTCGTTTGGTAGGATGCAGTAGATAAAATAATGCATGCATTAACTTTTGGTATTAGTAATCCGTTGTTTGGTATACTTTTTCAACCTATGTATTACTAATACAAGTATTAGTTATACACCCTATTTGGTATTATCCTATATATAACTAATGCATAGCAAACCATGGTATTAGCAATACCAAGGCTATTAATGCATGCATTAGCATGATTAAGGGCAAAATTGTTCTTAGAGTCCCTTAAAGCTAAAGAATATGGAGGATATTTTTGTAAACAACTAATTTTCAAAAATTATGCAATGTATTTTAATTTTTAATACACCACACCAAACAGTGGATGGGAAATAATCTCTGTATAACTAATGCTTGCATTACTAACCCATGCATTACTAATCCCTGCACTATTCTTATAAAGCCTACCAAACGACCCGTTAGTAGCATGGTTTACCAGTCAGTATTTGCAGGAGCTTCTCCTACAGCAGTCCAACCATGTGCCTATAACAGTCCTTGGCAATCTAATGAATGGCCAGATGCTGCACTTAGTTCCATCACAACTCCTGAGCCGAGCCTGGCACTGCCATTTCAGAAAAATTCCACTGTTTGGAGCTCACTTGAATCTATGGAAATATTTGCAAAATTTCCACAAAATCCACACTTTTCACCCTTAGCAGAACATGAGGAGATGAAACGAGAAGAACTAGCTTTACAAAAGATGCTAAAGTATGCCTTCCTTGGTGATAAGATATCAAAGTTGACCATTGCGGATCTTAAAAATTCAATGGTCATCAATGACATTCTGACATGTCTCAAGGACTTGGAGGAGTGTGGATTTGATGTAATGCAGATTAAATGTCCATTAGACGATCTGTTGAACAGTGAGAGGCAAATTCAATTCCAAAACAAGTTTGATGAAATAAAGGGCAGAATCAGAGACTGCAATCTTGAGAGAGAAGAAGCTGAAAAAGAGATCAGTAAAATTGCTATGAAGGTAAAAGATCTGGAGAAAGAACTTAGGTCAGCCAAGGAAAGGATAGAGATGAAGGATCAAGTGATCTTTGAATTGAGATCTGAAGAGAGTGCCATTCGTGATGAAATACGTCAAGTTCAACTTGACTTTGAACGGACAGCGGCTTCACCCTTCTGCTGACCAATACTTTGTACAAATTAAAGTATGAACAAACTCTGTTTTGCCGAATAGATGTCTACTGAATCTGTTTAGCTGGAGTAATCTTACTCCTGTAAATAATGTTGGCCATTTCCTTGATTTTATTGGTGTTCTTACCCTGGCTTGAGTTTTGACAGCCTATTTTTCCGTGCTCTATATTTTTTATTAGCTCGCTGATCTTAGTTTAAGACATGCTGTAATGGATTTTATTTGTGCTCATTGCATCTTCTTGATGCCAGCAATATAACATCTTACTTCATCAGAAAAACAAACTCTGTTTTGGTAAAGTTTTACAATTGAAAAATGAAAAAAGCATTAGTATGTTCGTCAGACATTATTGGTACTCTTTGAAAAGATCTCAAAAATTGCAAAATTTGAGAAAGGAAATTGAAATGAAAGATGTTGTGAAATCGTATTGTTGTCCTCATTAACATATGATATTGATGTGGTACTTCAATACCAACAAGTATTTCATCAAAATTCTTCTCACTCAGTGAAGAATTCCGCTCAAGTTCAAGTTTTGTTGATCTGCTCAATAAAAATGCTAGTAGATAAAGTTTTGGAACATCTGATTTACAAAATTGGAATGCAAAAAACTCAAAGATCTCAATTGCTTTTTTCTTTTTTAAAGGAGTATTTATTTGCCACCTATAGTCCGTCGTCTCGGGGTGGTTGTGTAAGTTTTCACAATAATTTCTTTTTCACAACTGACAGCCCTAATAGACAATAATTAGTATTTCAAAAGAAAGTAATTCGATATTCAAAACTACTTCTGAGAGAAGTTTGTCAAACACAATTTATTTTCTAATTTTAAAAGTTACTTTAAAACTTTATCTGAAAAGAAATAATTTCAAAATAGTAAGTAAATTTTGAAAACTCGACCAAACCTAAAGTGACTAATATGTTTGTAGTTTGTACTTTGTACTAAGGAGGAGGCAAAAACTAAAAAAATAATTAATTTTAACAAAACGAATTGTTAAACCTTAAACCCTATGGAAAGCATTCAAACACGAAACAGTGAGAGCGTGGAGAACTTCTGTATCAGTTCTGGAACTCTCAACAGCTGCCTTACTTTCTTCTCAATTCTCCCATTTCCCCTTACTCCGAAATCTGCTTTTGCTCTATCTTATCAATTTTTACAACACATTGCAATTATTGGGAAATGTTCAGAGCTGCTGCAGCTGTTGCTTCATCAATCAGGTATATAAATATAACGTTGTGTCACATTTATATCAAACACTTATATTTTGGGTACTCACAATTATATTTTCGCTTCTTGTCAGGTCCTCAACTTCCAGAAAATTGGTAAAATATCTACTCTTTACCTTACAACAACATTTAATCTAATTATTGATAGTGCTCGGTATAATTTTCTTATTGGAGTGCAGAATTTATGTCTGAATAATAGATTGGGTCAATTGGGTATATTACATTTCTTCTTTATTACTTACTTATTAATTATTACTTTTTTGTGGTAAAGGCTGCCAGTAGGATTATTTCGAGAAGAAATTATGCTGCAAAGGATATCAATTTTGGTAGCCAGGCACGGTTGGCCATGTTACAAGGGGTTAATGAGCTTGCAGAGGCCGTAAAAGTCACAATGGGACCAAAGGTAATAAATAAGATTTATACTTGATATCCTATATTTAGTATTTCCGACATGACCTCCTTATTATTGTTCTCCAATTCAAACCTGCTGAGAGTTGTTTTTCCTGAGCCGAGAGTCTTTCGGAAACAGCCTCTCTACCTCCACAGGGTCAGAAAAAAGTCTGCGTACACTCTACCCTCCCCAGACCCCACAGTGTGGGATTACACTGGGTATGTTGTTGGTTGAAATTTTGAATTAGATCTTAATGTTAGTTGAAAAAGAGGAAACTAATTTGACATCTTTACTGATATGATACATATGAGACGAACTATGGAGCTTAGCTTTTTCTTTTTCTGATTTTCACATGCTATACTTAATATGAATACTACTTGATATATTTCATGTTTATGGAGTACTTGGTGAAGAAAAAAACCATATTGGACAGAAAAAGATGGGCTTTTGAGTTTCAATTTTCACCAGTGACCTGTGCGGAAACTTTTGGAATGTTATGTTTTTTATTCACCTACCCAAAAGGATGCAAAAATGGTGTTTGCTAAGGTTTACTAATTTTGATTATTGGGTAGCAGTGGTTATAACACTAGCGGATGTTAGGATTTCACTTATCTCTGTCATCCTTTTCTTCTTAAAGGTCCTACATGCTATAATGACTTTCCTCCCAAGATTTAAATGAATTATTGAGAATGTCTAAAACATCTAGAATATTGCATTTCACAAGGTCTCTTGATTGAAAAGAATAACCTGAGTTGTCATCATACTTACGACTATTCTTCGTCTTCTTCGTTCACAATCCAGGGTCGTAACGTGATTATTGAGAAAAGCCAAGGGAATCCTAAGGTCACAAAGGATGGTGCCACTGTAGCCAAGAGCATCAACTTTAAGGATAAGACAAAGAATGTGGGTGCTGATCTTGTGAAGCAGGTTGCTAATGCTACTAATTCAGTTGCTGGAGATGGTAAGATCTCTACTTTGGATTAGCTTATTCGTGAATCATAATAAATGTTTCAACTTACATCAGATACATTTGCCATGGTAAAAGAGCTTTTATATTCATCATCTTTTCTTCCTAAAAGGAAATCTTTAGTATATATCATAGTCTTGATACGTTGAGGTGCACTTTTTGATTGCGATGGTTGTAGGGTCTTACCAAGCTTATGTATGTCCACGAATTTTCTAAAATGGTTGCCATGTGATAACAGGTACAACCTGTGCAACTGTGCTTACTCAGGCAATTTTCTCAGAAGGTTGCAAAGCTGTTGCTGCAGGTGTAAGCGTGATGGATTTGCGTAGTGGTATTAACATGGCCGTTGATGCTGTTGTTGCTGACTTGAAGAGCAGAGCAGTCATGATTAGCACCCCGGAGGAGATTACACAGGTGAAGGGCTAATAGAGATTCTATGTCCAACTTGGATCATGCTGTGGACAAACACATCAACCAATCTATCAATAGACTACGCCTCAAACTCATATACTTGGGGATGCCAAACTAGATAGGGCTGTGGACAAACTTATAAGATTTAAATCTGAACATTTATTAATCCTTACTTTCTGCAAGTTATAATTCAGTTTCAGGCAAAACCACTTCACCAACTGTTCCTACAAGTCAATACAGTTTTTCCAATTTCAGTTTTCCAGTTGTAGTTGTGGTTTTGACTCTTTGTTTTCCAAGCTGATTTGTCAACTGGGAAAAATTCATCTTTCTGAAAATATGATGAAATGACGGTTTCTCCTTCTGGTTTCTTTCCATAATTTTTCTCATCGCTGCTCTCCTTTTCCTAGAAAACACACTGCGTTTATTTTCTTTCCCTACATTAGAGCTAAAATCAGATCTTTACAAGTTATGATCAAGAATGATTTTATGATTGGAATTTAACTGCATGACTTGTAAAACGAACCAGTTTCTGGATGCACCTGTAAATTTGTATGTTCCTTATAACTTCTTTAAGATTGAAAGCTAGTGCTGTTAACTCAGAAAAGCAAGTGGAGTTCTTACATGTTCTTTTTACCCTAAATGGTCCTCTTTTTGAGAGTTCAATATCTTACTTTCCAATAGGTGGCTACTATCTCTGCAAATGGTGAACGTGAAATTGGGGAATTAATAGCTCGAGCCATGGAAAAAGTTGGGAAGGAAGGGGTGATTACTGTTGCTGTAAGTTATGCTCATATTGGTGTTTCTGATACAAATACATTGAGAACTGTTTAAGCTTGAAACTGAAACCTCATATATTTTGAATTAACAGGATGGAAACACCTTAGATAATGAGTTGGAAGTGGTGGAAGGCATGAAGCTTGGCCGTGGTTACATATCTCCTTATTTTGTCACAGACGCGAAGACTCAAAGATGTGTATGTAATAATTTCTACGACTGAGAACTTTCCCCCCAATTTCTACGCTGAAGTGTAGAATTAGATTTCTCCAAATGTGGTCAGTGGCTTGAAGCATAGAAGAATGACTTAATGATTCTGATGCTAACAACTTTCATTAGTACCTCAGAAAACCAAAACATTCTCATGATCTCCCCCCAATTATTTTATTCCGTTTCTTAGTGGAGATTGGGATCTTTTCCTCTTTTGTTCTTGACTTACAAGTCATAGAAAGTAGCTGTGTCAGCCAATGCATACGTCGTGCCATGCAACGATCTCTACATCCTGTATCAACTTATAAAGTTCACGACATGATATTTTGACTTGTATGTAAACAGGAATTGGAAAATCCATTGATCCTTATTCATGACAAGAAAATCTCAGACTTGAACTCGATTGTGCGGATATTGGAGCTTGCTGTTAAGGTAACCAGTATCTTCTGAGTGTGTGTGTATGTGCTTTTTTCTTTTTCTGGATCATTAATTTCTAACTTCTAAGTATGTTCTTTACCAGAAAGCATGATGCATATCTTTTCCATTTTCTTTTCTGGATGAAGAAAAAATTTGTTTGATAAGAGGCAAAGAATTATGAAGATATATCAGAATACTTATATATAAAAAAAAGTGTATTCACTATGATAAGGAGAAAAAGTCCTGGCAAAGAAACTAGGCAAAAGCTGAAAAAGAGCTTAATTAACCATCTTGGGAAGGGAACCTGCCAGCCATGTTGCCTGGCCACAAGTGCCACGTTACTCTATTGCGATAAAATATGTGTGCAAGTTACATATGTTGAATAATAGCTGCACCAATGGATACCTTTGAAAATGTAAAGAAATTGTTCTTTTGCAATACGTGTAAATTAATCATCATAGTATTTTTTTCTATCTCTGGCGTAGAGAAGGAGGCCTCTGTTAGTTGTTGCTGAAGATGTGGAAAGTGATGCATTAGCTATGCTTATCCTAAACAAGCATCGTGCCGGGGTTAAGGTATTAAACTTTCTCTATGCGAGCCATATTTGTGGTGGCCTTGTTTTCATTTTTGATTATTTTGTTACAGCATATGGATTTTTTTCATTTTTTTGTAATTAGTCCCCCGCTCGTACCCAGAATATCTTTTATTTTCACGTTATGTTCAGGTCTGTGCCATTAACATTCCTACTTTTGGGGAT